TTAATTTTATTTATTAATTAAATATAAGCTTAATTAAATAGATTAATAATGAAATATAAAATATTAATAAGTAAATTAAATTAATAATTATGTAATAAAAAATAATAGAATTAATTAATTCAGGAAAATTTTTTAGAATAATTAATTTTTTTGCTGAAAAATTTAAAATCATTATAATAATTCAATATCTTTAGAATATTATTGTTTATAAACTAATATTAAATAATATATACTATTTTATGTTTATATAATAATACTATTAGAATTTATAAAATAAAAAATAAAAAATTCAGGGACTTAATTAAAAATAAAATGAACTTATAAGGACTTGATAAAAAGAAAAATAAATACAAGGACCTAATTAAAAACAAGTGAAAGTATAAGGATCTGATAAAAAGAAAAAAAACTATAAGGACCTAATTCAAAATTGATTGAAACTATAAGGACTTGCAGATTAATTATCCCTAAGGAAAAAAAACTGCTATTTTAAAGAATTTAATACAGTTTCGAATTCTAGGGATAATGGATTATGGCCTTAGCCCAAATTTACCAAAATGACATTAGAGCCACAGCTGAGATAGGCCTACGTGGGTCAGCACTCCAAAGATCATGGGCTCATCTACAGAGGCCCGATTGGCTTATGTATATCCACCCCTCAAATTCACAAAACTGGATTACGGTTTTTGTAAAACATATTTTGTTATGTCCTTCCATAAAAATTAGACCATAATCTTCTATTTCTTAATATGAGATCTAATTAATTAATTTAAATACATTAAAAATATTAATTAAATTAGTTAATATGATATGTTTTTTTTAAATATCTTAAGTTAATTTATAAAAAATTGATAAACATGTAAAATAGGCATCATATAAGAATTAATATTAACACCATAATTAACTTCCATATTAAGAACTGGAGGAGCACGTTATATTGAGTGTAAAATAAATTATATTATTATATTAATGACTTATAAATAATGTGACTTTATATATATTTGCATTTATAATACTCCATTTTTTATTATTTGGGTTTAGAATTATTAGTTATGAAATATAAGCAGAGTTGATGATTTTCTAAAAAGAATAGTGAAAACTGAAAAGTTTAGAGTGTAAGATAAAAAGAAATGTACAAATCAAGACGTTATTAAATATGACTATGATTTATAAGGAAAAACTAACATGTAGGTCCTTGTAGTTTTGTCCCATTTTGAATCAAGTCCCTAAAGTTATTTTTTATTTTATGGGATCCTTAATGTTTCAACCATTCGATTTGTTAGTCCTTCTGTTAAAAAAACATCAAACTATAATGAAACGCCGTTGATGATGCTAATATGGAGGACAAGGGGATCAGACGTAGCATTGATTTCCGGTACGTGGTAGTGAACTACTCGTTGAACCTCCTAAACATCTCCTAAATTGATGCCCAGTTCCCAATAAAGGTTGATGACATCTTCGAATTCAAGTTGAATGTCACACACACTTGATGTTTAAGGATGCCCATTAAAATCCTACCTCTCCTTGCTGGACTCTCACATCTCCTCTGCTATTCATGCAATTAACAAGAAGCTTCTAAAACTCACCAAACCTCTCTTTATTTGCATTTCTTCAAACAAACATGCGCATAATTATTGTTTCTAGAGCATGAAAGTGAACTGGAACTTAAGAACTAAGGCTAATAAATTGATAGATTTAGAGTCTAACTAACTGTACTTTTCCTGTTGTGGGGCTATCTCAAGCCCCTTCAAAATGAATTATCCCTCATTTTCTCAATAGCCAAGCTTATGTTGTATATAACCAAGTTGGCCTTGTCGTTCTTTTTGTCTCTTAAGAAAGTTCTTTTTTTTGTCAACTTAAAGCAGTTGGAGACATGAAAGCTCACAAATGGTGAGATGCAGGAGCAGTTTGATATGGACGAAAGATTTATAGAGATAAGAAGGATGGCTTTTGAAACTCAAGAAAATGGAGGAGGGGCTAAAGCAAGTACGGTTCATGACCTGAAAATCCCAACATAAATCTTTAACTCCAAAGCCTACAGCTTGGTCAAAGAGGCTGGTGGTGGAAGTGACAGAAAGGGGACTTGATTTTAGCGACTAATGGCAAAAGAGACCATGCCAAAACTAGCAGCATCGGCTGCATCTGGTGGGACTAGCGTCGCCATTAGGCATGATGATTTTTGGAGGAGCATCAAACTTGAAGTTGCCCTCTGCAGGTGATGACCTTTGGGGAAGAAGGTTCTTGGAAATCAATGACAGTAGTTTTCTACAGTGATGAAAGAAGATGGGTTGCCACATCTAATTTACTTGTCCTCCATATAAGTATCTTCAACAGCGTTTAACCCCAGTTTAACATTTTTCAAATAGAAAGATTAACGGATGAAACGGTTAAAACATTAAAGATCTCATAAAATATGGAGACTTGATCCAACAAAACTATAAAGACTTGCAAATTAATTTTTCCTGATTTATAATTATAACTTTTATACTTGTTTATTGCCTTTACAATTAAAAAAAAGGAGAAAAAAGTAAGAAAGAAAAAGAGGGTAAAAGAAAAGGTAGCAATCAAATCAAGGTATATCCAATATTCCTACGTCAGATTCTAATCACAGAGAGAAAATACCATCCAAAACAATGTTGGATTTTCTAGTTAAAATATTCATTGAAATGAATTATTTGATTTATCCTTATCCACATTGATCATCATTTAATAATCTTGTGGTTTAGTGTGAGATATAAATATGCCCAGCTACTGAACCAATCACATCACAGTAATGAATGAAAACACGATTTGTCTCACCAGTGCCTAATTGAGAGGGGTCACAATTTCTTTGGAGACAAAAGCAATCAAAATTCGATTTCTCATCCTTCTTTCATTATTTCCCACATTGACACTTATATTATCTAACTTCAAATAAGTTACATCTTTCGTACAAAAGCTTAGGCTCAATTTTTTATATAATTATCTAGTATTTAGTACCATCAATTAAACAAATTTTTAATGTTTTCACACCTAAATGAGAGCTAAATTTCCCAAAAGGTATGTAAATTAATTAAACCTGGCTCAACTCTTTTATTTTTTTTTTTCATATGATACCTTATTTCATAAAGAATTTAATGATTAATTTATGGATTTTTTTGTTAACACCCTATAAAATGTGAGATTAATTTATGAGTTAGTGTGAACCTAACACCGCAAACTAATTTTAGAAGTGTATCCAATATTTTAGATTATTTAGTGACATAATTTTGCTCATAATGTAGGGTGAATGTACATTTAGTATCTCAATTTTTTTTTCTTATGTGTATTTAGCACCATGCTCTTTTTTTTTTTTTTAATACATCTAACATCTCAATGTTATTTTTTCAATTGCATCCAATATCCTAATTTTTTGGGTTTAGCAAACCATAAAGACCTATGAGTCATTCTACATTAACAAACTATTAGTATCGAGTTTTTTTCAGCAAAGTAAAATATAAAGACCAAATTATTTCGGGTTAATAAATTATAAGATTGAGTAGTCGTTTTAAGTAGACTCAAAATATATAAGATCCTATGAAACAAGCTGAATATGATTAAAATAATGCAAATAATTAGTGGAAAAGCCATATATGCACTGTCAATCAATATTAGTGTGGAGACAAAAAAGATATGGGTGTTTTTAGTTGGTCATGACATCTTATAATAAAGCTACCTGCCCTATCCCCCTCTCGGCTCCACAAAGTAATTTTAAATGGGATATATTGGCTTTTTCTATTTGCTACTTCCACCTAATCCCCACCCATTTTTGTTATTTAATTTCATCTCTCTTCCAGATGTTCTTTTGTTTATTGTTTTTTTGCCAATTTCAAATACTTCTACAAACAACTTGTTAATCCATGAATTATATTATAAGTAACATAAATAGAAGTGCATCATTATAATTTATAAAGCACTGTAAGTTGAAAGAGACATCTGCTATGTAAACATCATTGATGTCAGCAACGTACTTGGTGATTTGGTCAGCTAATAATACCTCTAATTCTCAATATAAAACTCAGTTAATTAATTAAAAAAAATTACTAAATTATTTTAAATTATTTATATTTATCGTTTTTATTTAAACTAATTTAGTTCATTTATAAATTTATATATAATCTAATAATTTATATAAATATTTTAGAGATATCAAGTAACATATATTATAATTAAGTAATTTAGTGACTTTTTTAATATTTCTTAATTAGTACATTAAAGACGGAGGTAGCATGTACTCCTCCGGTCCTAATTATAAGACCCAATTGACTTATTTGAGGAGATTAAGAAAGTAAGTTAAGTTGGTTATTTATAATAAATAAGTGTTGTTATTCCTAAAATATTTTTGCTAATTAAGTATATTGGCTAAAACTATCATTATTAGAAGGATTATCTTGGAAAAAAATGCATAAATATAAGAGAGAAAATGAATTGGGTCTTATAATTAGGACCAAATAAAAAGTCAAATTGGGTCTTATAATAAGGATCGGAGGAGTATTATTTATATTGTCATTAGCTAAATCGAAGCCTCGTTGTATTCTGCCATCGTCAAAGAATCTGGACTCTTCTCTATCTTTAGAGTTATAGCCAACGTCAGCATATTTCATCTCTACCTAATTTCCAGCATTCCACATAATAACCACTTTCTTTACCTAATATCTTGGCTGAGTTGGCTCTTTGAATCTGATCCAATAATTTAGCTAAATCAGACTGAGTGCATATTTGGTTTTAGTACTTGCATATTTACTTCATAGAGTGTAAAAACACTCTGAAAATAAAACCTTGTTTTATGGATCATATTTAACACCTCAAGTATTACTTTAGTAATCCACTCACTTCCAACGACAAGTGTTTGCAAGAACTTGGGGACGCAAGTAATTACGAGCACACATTATTTTAACAGTTTAAGTTATATAATACAGTTTCTGGTTGTCTTTGTCCATATTTGTAGGTCCCTTTCAATCAAACGATCTTTCAAAAGCTTGGTGTTCAACTTGGAAAACAAAACCTAAACAGCAACATCAACGTCAGACAAGACTCCACTTAGAAGCCGAAAGGACCAATTTCCCATTAGGAACAATTGGAGAATTGTTTATTCAACTTAGAAAAGTAAACTACTAAAGCCAACAAAAGGAAGGAAATGACTCCTAGATACATAGACAACACACAAAACGACAAGCTCTCTCTCTTTATATATGCATATTTCCAGCCCCACTGCCTATCTTCCACCAAAACATAGCTTAGTACGAAAAATTCTTGGATACATTAATTGCAAAGTCACGTAATACATTGAAAAAAAATCAATTCGAGTAGGGTCCCTAAAGCATGCAAGAATTGGCCGTCATTATTGGCTTTTTTTAGCATTTTGTGACTGTGCAAACAATGTATCTGAGAAATTCTTCTGGCCTCACAAGTGTCGGACCATCTGTATCTTCTGCTGCGGCTGCTGCAACATGTTCACGTGAGAGCAAGATCTTACCATCTCACCAGCTATGGGAATCACAGGGAGGCTGTCGCAATTGCATATCTCGATCATGAATCCATCTGGGTCGTGGAAGAACAGCTGATCTACTTGGATCCCACCTTCTTCTACCATGGACCTCACGCAGGGGATCTCCATCTCCTTCAGCTTCTTCTCCACAGCTCCCATGCTCTCGCACTGCATGATCTCAAGAAAAACCGAAGTCCTTAGTTAATATTCGGTTTGTCATTTCGTCAAACACAACATAGACACTAATGCGTACAAGGAAAGGCTAAACGATATACTTGGGTGACGAGTTCATGTTTGTCTTCTTTTCTAGCTACAACCATGACAGAGACAGGTTAACGATTCCCAAAAATTTAAGCTATTATACGGAGCTGGGATTGATTAACCATTACCGACAGTTCTTTCTAATCCTGGTCCCATTGTCTATCTGCATATTTTTCTCTTAGCGTACGACATTTTCTTACGTCTTTAATTTGCTTTCCTCCTCAGATACAGCTCAGCTCTTAAGAATTTTCAATAACTAAACATTCTATTTAAATATAATTCTTTTGGGTTGGGGGGAGAGAAACTGTATTTATTGATTTAATGATGACGTACTCGAGTCATATGTTACGATAATTGTTTTGAACAAACAAAATCATGAGGACGCGGGATGGGACTAACATGCTTGTGTTTGTAATCTCACTTCTTCCAACAGGGGAATAATCAAAAGATCCCCAATATTGGACCAAAATCATACCTGAAACGATATGTGATTATCCTTTGGATTAATTACCGTCTTTTTGGGCAGATTCTCTGGGTCCTCTGCTTGGAGTAAATGAATCCCAATTCCATAGCCAAACAACCTGTACACCAATTATCCCACAGAAAAATGAAAACAGATTAAGAAAAACCCCAAAGTGTTTGTCATGAGGAAGAGAAAATAAAAGAAGTCGCAGAAAATCCCTAGGTTTCGTTGTCTTGAAACGTTTCTGAGGCTATTAATTATCCCTGAATATTGGATCTTGTATTGTCATGTATGGTATCATGGACGATGGGAAAAGGAAAAACTACCAGGCGCCATCGAAATCGAAAGAGCCGGGCCTCCTGATGGGGAAGAATCCAAGAACGTTCTGATAAAAATCCATGGATTCTTCGACGGATTTGCAGATGAGGGAGATGTGGTTGACAGACTTGAGGTGGAGAGGGTTTCCTGCAGTTTCCTTCATTTTCTCGAGAAAAATCGATGAACCTTCGAGAAGCAGAACGCAGATAGTGATTAACGAGGAGGATCGGAGAAGAGGGAATTGAGGAATAAGAAGTAAATAGGAGGAAGGCAAATAATAGGAACAGGGAAAGAGAGAGTCACGGAAGTCCACGAACGGGAAGTGAAGGGAGAGACGTGAATATAAAGGCCATGAAGGAGCCTTGTTGTGACACGTGTCAAGCATGCGATTCGTCGCGGTTACTCAGATAGCGAGTTGTCTGACACGTATTGACCAGGTGGCAGTAACTGCCCCCCATTGAAACCTTGACACGTAAGCTCAATGTTCCAATCGAATTTGCTTTAATAATCTAAAAAATTAAATAATTAATTGCTCTGTCGATCCTTATCTTCCCTCACATTGCACACAAGGTTACCTGCACTCTTCCTACCTATCTCCACGCGCATGCTTATTATTGGAGTTATTCTAAAAATAGTTTTTTGTCATTTTTATAAAATTCTTTATAGTTCCAAACAAACAACAACAAGCCTTATCCCACTAGGTGGGGTCGGCTACATGAATCACACGATGCCATCGTGCTCTGTCAACAACCCAATCCTTAGATATGTTGTTGATTAGGAGGTCTCGTTCAATGACCTCATTCAGCGTTCTTCTCGGTCTTCCCCTGCCTCTTTTATGGGACTCCATCTTGTTTGATCCACCCTCCTCACCGGGGCCTCCAAAGGCCTTCTCTGCATATGTCCAAACCATCTTAAGCGATTTTTAACCATTTTCTCTTGGATAGGTGCCACACCGACTCTTGTCCTGATCTTTTCATTTCGAATCCTATCTTTTCTTGTATGACCACACATCCATCTCAACATCCTCATTTCTGCTACTCCGACTTTGTGCTCTTGTTTTCCCTTTATTGCCCAACATTCACTACCATACATCATAGCTGGTCTTATAGCAGTCCGATAAAATTTTCCTTTAAGTTTCTCAGGTACCTTCTTATCGCAAATAACTCCGGTAGCTTTCCTCCACTTTAACCAGCCAACTTGTATTCTATGAGAAATGTCTCCATCAATTTCTCCATCCTCCTGTATAATGGATCCTAGGTATTTAAACTTTGATACTTGAGGAATAATTTGCTCTCCCATCCTCACCTCCAAATCCCTATTACCTTGCCTCCCTCCAAAATCACAATGCATATATTCTGTTTTGTTCCTGCTCAAACGGAAACCTTTCGATTCCAAAGTCCTTCTCCATAACTCCAAACTAGTGTTAATCTCTTATTTCGATTCCGCCATAAGAACTATATCATCCGCGAAGAGCATGGACTTAGGGATTCTTTCTTGAACAGGTTTAGTTAGAACATCCAGAACAATGTTGAACAAGTACGGACTCAGAGAGGATCCCTGATGTAGGCCAATCTTGATAGGAAAGTCCTTTGTCTCCCCCCCAGGCGTCCTTACACTGGTAGTTACCGCCTCATACATATCTTGTATGACTTTGATATACGCAACCCGTACACCTTTCTTTTCCAAAGCCTTCACAATACTTCTCTTGGCACACGATCATAAGCCTTTTCCAGGTCAATAAAAACCATATCTAAATCTCTTCTTTTACTTCTATATCTCTCCATTAACCCCCTTAGTAAATAGATTGCTTCTGATGTGGATCTCCCTGGCATAAATCCAAATTGGTTTTCCGAAATAGAAGTCTCCAACCTCAATCTATATTCCATCACTTTTTCCCACAACTTCATTGTATGACTCATAAGTTTTATCCCCCTGTAGCTTGCACAGTTTTGAATGTCTCCTTTATTCTTGTAAATAGGAACTAAAATGCTTTTCCTCCACTCATTCGGCATATTTTTAGAGCGTAGAATTTCATTAAAAAGCTTGGTTAGCCATACCTCCCCCTCATCGCCCAAACATTTCCAAACTTCAATAGGGATACCATCAGGCCCAACGGCTTTTCCATTGTCCATTTTCTTGAGAGCCGCCTTAACCTCTCCGATACGTATCCTGCGGTAGAAAGCCAAATTCCGATCATCTTCATTAATTAGCAAGTCCTGCAAGTCCTGAGTTGCATAATTGCTTCCCTCATTAAACAACTTGTAAAAGTAAGCCTCCCATCTGTCCTTAATATCACCATCAGTAACTAACACTTTACCATCTTCATCCTTTATACACTTAACTTGATCCAGATCTCTCTTTAGCCGCCTCCGTCCAAGAGAGTGCGGTAGCCCTTGCTCATTTAACACTACATCCAGGCGACGATGCACGCTCTAGCTCATTTATCACTGTACTCGAGCCATACAGCGCGTCACATCTGGGCAACGACCTAGCATTAGCATAATTACTTCGTTGATCCATGTTCATGAGATTCGACGGGTTTTTACGTTGGCTGTCGAGGGCCTAACACAACCCTCCTCCTTTATCCGGTCTTGGGACCGGCTATACAACATAGGCGGAGTTAAAATTCTTTATAGTTCCAATAAATATTAAATATTTTTTCTATATATCTGTACGTGGTGAGAGGATGAAAATCACCCCGTATTAAACGTAAGTGAAGTAGTTTATTATAAACTTTAAATAACTAATTTAGAAATAATAAATAAGTAGTTAAATTAATTAAAAATAATAAATAAATTAGAAATATATTTTTATTTTCAGATATATCCTTATAATAAATAAGAAAAATAATGAAAGAGAATATGTAGAAAAATATGATAAGAGAGAAATAATTATGGACAACATAAAAAAAAAAATACATTAAATGTTAACATAGACTCAAATTGAAGCTTATAAAATAAACTACAACTCTCTCTAAATTTAAAGCTTATATATATAATTGAAAGGAGTATTTGATGCTTGTTTTCTAGTTTTACTTTTATTTAATTCTTATTAGAAAGAGAGAAAGAAGTGAGAGATATGGGGATGATTGTAAATGCAAGGAAGAGCTTTTATATGAGGGTAAAACTGAATTTTTTTTGGGGTCAATTTAATACATTACTTGGTATGTGAAAGTGTGTTATAAGTGATTTATATTAAAAACTAGAGTGGTAGTATGATGTTGGAATTTAGTACAGTTAATGAAGGTAATATAATTTTATGACAAATTTAATGGTTTTTAATTATTGTTATTGGTATGTGTGAATTAGTAGTCTCTTATAATAAGGATAAGAGAGAGTAAATAATTAATTTGTTGATATTGAAATATTAGTTTAACTAATTATTTATAATAAATGTGTTTTAGTTTCACTAAAATATTTTTCCTAATTATATGCATTGTGTAACTATTTCTTGATAAAAACTATCTACTATGTGCAATCAATATAGATACCTTCACAAAGGAATTATAAATTTGAGAAACAAAATGAATTAAAATCTTATATTTAATATCAAAATAAATATTTTGTCTAGCTCTTGTATAAGAACTAGAGGTAGCTCACTCATCATGTATATTTTATTTCTACATCTTCTCATAGATATTATCAAAATCAAAAAGTCTTTTTAAATTTTTTTTATAAATTTTTGTAAAATGCTGCTTATAAAAAGAATTTACTGTCCTAAATGTATGACATAACACCTCAATTTGGATAAAAAAAAAAGTTGTTTTAGTAATGAACATATCATCTCAATTTACCTTATCTCCTAACATTATAATTTAGTTCAAATTAATATATTAATTACACATGGATTCCAAACTATGAGGACAACTTATAATGTAAATGATTAAATGAAACATTTTAGGTGAACTAACACATTTTTATAAATAATTAACTTGGCCAAATTTTTTTAAATTTTTATAGATAAATTATTTAGCTCCTATCTAAAGGAGGAAAAGGAAATGTGAGACAAGGAAATCATGATTTTGTACGTAAACACACATTTTCATGAGTTTATGGGTGTGTTTGGATAGAATCCAAACCATGGTTTCAAAAGTGCTTTTGCGGATTACGAAGTAATATGTGGAGGAGATTATCTCGTTTGCGGAAAAGTGCTTCTGAAACCACGGTTTGGGGATACCCAAACAGGCCCTATGCCTCTGGCAGCATTCTATTTTTGCTGTTCAAATGTTAGATACATTTGAGCTTGATGGGTAGCTTCATCAAGATTTTAATTGTAGCTATCGAGGATAAAAATTGCATACTTGACCAAATCAGGTGAGTTTAAACATTCAATGACTTTATTGACATTGTGATAGATCCAGAGTTCGAGGATTTTGTGTCAAGCATTGCCCAAATCATTGTCGGGTGACCAAGAATTTTCACATTTCTAAATATTTATATTTTTCAATAATCTTCACTGATATAGTATGGGTATATATAAACTAATTCAAGTTAATTAACTAATTTAAATAGATTAAAAAATTATTTAAATTAATTATTTGTAATAAATATGTGTTGTCTTCTTTAAAATACTCTTATTAATTATGTGTATCAGTTAAAATAACCAATTGATAAAATATTTAATTTAAGGACTATTTTAAAAAAAATAAATAAATATGATAAAAAAGTGAATTGAGATATTATATTTAGAACTAAATTAAATTTAAAACTAACCTTTATATTAAGAAATGGAGGTAATATACACTCCTTTCAGTTTTTATTATAAGTTTCAAATAACTAATTTGAATATAATAAAAAATTAGTAGAATTTTTTGTCAAAAAAATTAGTTAAAAGCAATAAATAGATTAGAAATATATATTTATTTCTAAACACGCCCTTATAATAAATGAGAAGAAGAATAAAAAAGAATGTAGGGGAAATATGATGAGAAAGAATGTGTAGTAAATAATTAGAAAAAATACATTAAATGTTAAGATAAGTCCAAATTGAAACTTATATATTGGACCACATTCCTCCCCCAAATTAAAACTTATAGATAGGACCTGAGGTAGTATATATTTTAGTTTAATTTAATGATAACACTGATATTTAATATAAGACTCATTTAATTAATTTAATTATATTAAAAAAATTAGATAAGTTAGTTAATTTAAAAAAATAAAATATATTTTTCTAAAATATCATAATCATCTTCATGTAAATCACACAAACTAACTCTTACATTAAATTAAAGACAAGAATAGTATTTTATTAAATTAAGCAATCAAACTAAAATATTTTATAAAATTAGATGAGTAAAGAATATTTT